ATTATAAAACCTTTAGGTTTTCAGAACGTTAATCGTTATGGAAAAATGTTTCTGTTTTTTTTTTTTCGCTGATAATTATGTAAATAATCTGTATGTTTTTAAAATGATTAGCTGCATTGATTGAACCTCCAATTAATTCAGATTTGACAAGATAAAAAATGTACCAGTAAGGAAGAATCCTGATATATAATAAAGGCTTGCGTTGTGCATCAATTTGAGGTTTTCAACCTTTTTGAGGTGGTCGACCTGCAATTCAAAGGAGATTACGCCAAATACTTCAGCTCACATAATTCAATAAAAGCAATGACAATGCTAGAATGGCGACCTCTATAAATAATACAGCAACAAAATAATTATTGTTATCAAAAAGCTTGCATCCAATTAATTTGCAAATCATAAAGTAACCAAATCATATCAAATTAAGTGCACCTCAACAGTAAAAGAGCTTTCTGATAATAAAATAGCTCATTCAATCTATGCATCACTTCACTCGCTATGAGGATTTCTGCGATACCGAAAAGCGCCTACCTTAAAACAGCTGGCTGCGGCAAGGTTAGCGCATAATGATCGATGCGTTCCTCCATCAGTTAATAAAACAGCGCATGTTCCTTAAGTCAGTTTAAAAACGGAAGTTTAATTAGGTCTCACAAAGTACGTATATTAGCAGATACCAGCCGAAAAGTGGGGCAGTATCTTCTATTATATGTACTGTTTGTAGCTGGGGCCATCGATTACAGTATTAAGGGCAAACTAATGGGAAACATGATCAGTTCTATACCTCTGGGTTCATTTAAGTTTAAATAAGAGCTACTTTTTCTCAAAAATCATTCTGTTTCTCCAAGATATTCAAGGTCAGACTAATCCGCTACCGCTCATTTGCAAGATACAACGTATATCGACTGCGAAACGGTTTTGCAATATCATGACACGAGCGTTACAAGAACTGTCACGAAATATATATCGAACGAATTATGTGTGAGTTTTAGTTGGTAAAATAAAAATGTTAATTATAGCTCCGAGTGTACTAACCTGTTGGCTTAGTTTCATCATACTGGTAATGAACATCAACTCCCGCCTCTCGTGCCTTACGCTCAAGAATCTCTCCAAATTCGTCTCGTCCGATACAACCCATAAACACACAGCGATCAACTTCACGAACAATCCTAAAGAAGCCAATGATTAAATAAGTGAGTAGACGGTGAGACTATAATTTGGATACATCACTATTATTCCCTATTGACTTTAGCCGGATACTTTTTTTGAAAAAGACGATAAATATGAGGACAACTTTTTAATCTCTAATTACTTGCTTTCGAAATATCTCTTTCATAAAAATAGATTAGAAGTTATGATAGCCTCAGCAATTTCTAAAACGTACACATGGGCTACTATTAATTACCATTGAAAGACGCGGCACGAGTTTTGCGTGGCTCCGCCGGCTATGTACTCGACACTTTCTTTTGCCTTCAACTCGTTATATATAGGAATGTGCGACTCGGTAGCCAATACTGCGTCGTTAGCCTGAAATACCACATGCAAAACAAAAGTCTATAT